GGGGCGTAGGGGGTGCTCTTCTGGGGTTCCCTTGCGTTTGAGGGACGCCCTGGGTTTGGGTCCTTTTGCAGTGAGTGATGATCCGCTGTGTTTTAGGAGCCTCAGCTTTGGGTGCTTGATGGGTACAGGATTGCAGCGCCAGGATTTCAGAGCTCCCACCTGTCTGACCCAAGAGTGGAAGACAATAGGAAATAGGCATAGGCAGCTGCAGGTGCCTGCGTGTGTGTGTGTGTGTGTGCGTGTGTGTGTGTGTGTGTGTGTGTGTGTGTGTGTGTCTCCTGGGGCTTGAACACAGGCCTGGGCGTTGTCTCTGAACTTTCCTTTACTCTTAGCTAGCGTTCAACCACTCGAGCTACAGCTCCAATTCTGGCTGGTCTTGTTGTTGTTATTGTTTTGTTTTGGTTATTGAAATGGAGACTTAGGTGTCAACAGACTTTCCTGCTGGTTTCTAGCCCTGATTCTCATCTCAGTCTCCTGAGTAGCTAGAATGACAGTCATGAGCCACCAGCGCAGGGTTCACCACTCCATTTTTTTTTTTTGGTCCAGTGGTAGGGCCTGAACTCTGGGCCTGGGCGCTGTCCCTCAGCTCTTCAGCTCAAGGCTAGCGCTCTACCACTTGAGCCACAGCGCCACTTCTGGCTTTTTTCTTTTTGCTTATGTGGTGCTAAGGAATCAAACCCAGGGCCTCAGGCATGCAAGGCAAGCACTCTACCACAGAACCATCTTCCCAGCCCCCATTGTTTTTATTTGTTTGTTTGCTTTTTGTTTTTTTGCCAGTCCTGGGGCTTGAACTCAGGGCCTGAGAACTGACCCTGAGCTGCTTTTGCTCAAGGCTAGCGCACTACCACTTGAGCCACGGTGCCATGTCTGGCTTTTTCTGTGTATGTGGTACTAAGGAATCAAACTCAGGATTTTATGCATGCTAGGCAAGCACTCTACCACTAACCCACATTCCCAGCCCTCCATTGGTTTTTAAATACTGATTAACTTGATTGATCTGGAAACAGGAGTTATCTGCTTCCCTGAGGATTGGACATCAGCCTTGATTAGAACTAGGCCCAGTACACTCATGAGTATGCCATTATAACATCTGTGAGGTGTCTTTAGGGACTCTTTGGGCTTCAAGAAATAGTCATTTGGGGGCTGGGAAGGTGGCTCAGTGGTAGAGCGCTTGCCTTGCATGCCTGAGGCCCTGGGTTCGATTCCTCAGCACCACATAAGCAGAAAGAAAAAAGCTGGAAGTGGCGCTGTGGCTCAAGTGGTAGAGCGCTAGCCTTGAGCTGAAGAGCTGAGGGACAGCGCCCAGGCCCAGAGTTCAGGCCCCACTACTGGACCAAAAAAAAAATAATAATCATTTGGTTTGGAATCTGCCCTGAATTGTAGGAAGTTTTGTGTGTTCCAATGTTGTCTTATAGATGATGGAGGTCTATAGGATTAAAAGGCATAAAGGAAACAGGGCTGGTAGCTCACACCTATAATCCCAGGTACTCGGGAGGCTGAGAACTGATTACATAGTTCAAAGCCAGCCAGAAAAATTAACCACCAAAAGCAGGGTTCGGGGCATGGCTCAAGTGGTAGTTTCTCCCCTGTACCCCCCCTCCCCCTCAAAAAAAAAAACCTAAGCAAGAGTGTGAATTCAAGCTCCAATAGTGTCACCAAAAAAATGTATAAAGAGTGCTTGGAGTTAGTATAGAATGTTAGGAGTTCTTGGAGATTGGGCCATTTTGTGCTGGGGGTTAGTTTTAGGTTTGGGGTTTTAAGTGATTTGGAATGGTTTAGATATTTGGGGAAGAGTATTGAGATTCTAGATAGAAATTTAGGGGAAAATAAGGATTTTAGGACCCTGGCCAGGCTCAGTGACTCACAACTGTAATCCCAGCCACTTTGGAGGCAGAGATAGGGCTGGGCAAAATGTTAACTGCATCCTTACCTCAAAGAACAAGATGGGCATGGTGGTACCTCCCCGTAATCTTATCACCTGTGTGGGAAGCATAGGTAGGAGGATCCTGCTCTGAGTAATATCCCAGGGGAAAAAATACAGACCTTATGTGGAAAAACAAAAGGCAAAAAGAGCTGGGGAAGAGGCTGAAGTGGTAGGGTGCTTGCTAAGCAAGGCCCCGAGTTCAAACTCCAGTATCACCAAAACACAAAACGGGACTGCTATCGATAGCTGGGAGTGTTCAGAGCTCTCAGATACTGAATGGCGTCTACACACCTTAGAGTGAATATTGCAGTCTGTACTGCAAGAGTAGGCAGATGGTCTTTTTTTTTTTTTTAAAGACAGGGTCTCTCTGTGTACCCCTTGTTCCTGTTTAGCTTCAAACTCCCAAATTCAGGGCCTGGGCACTGTCCCTGAGCCTCTTTGTGCTCAAGGCTAGTGCTGTACCACTTGAGCCACAGTGCCATTTCTGGTTTTTGAGTGGTTTATTGGAGATAAGTCTCAGGGGGACTTTTCTGCCTGGGCTGGCTTTGAACCATGATCCTCAAATCTCAGCCTCCTGAGTTGCTAGGATTATAGGCATGAGTCACCACCACCCAGCCTTGCTTTCTGAGTGCCTGGATTATAAGCATGTACCACTATGTGCAGCTGGAGAATTGTTTTCTGTTTTGGGGTGTCTAGAAGGAGATGGGTCAGAGAACAATAAATAGGAGTCATAACTTAGTTCCTAGAAAGCAGGAAGTGGGCTGGGAAGGTGGCTTAGTGGTAGAGCACTTGCCTTGCATGCTGGAGGCCCTGAGTTCGATTCCTCAGCACCACATAAGAAAAAAGCCGGAAGTGGCGCTGTGGCTCAAGTGGTAAAGTGCTAGCCTTGAGCTGAAGAGCTGAGGGACAGCGCCTAGGCCCAGAGTTCAGGCCCTACGACCGGACCCAAAAAAAAAAAAATAGAAAGCAGGAAGTATAGTGAAAGTTGATCCATCATATCAGTGTCATGACCCAGTTTATCTCCAGGTTCTGTCATGCACATAAACTCCTCATTGCAAAATAAAGTGGTCGCTATTAAGAGAGCCCAAAAAGCAAGTGTCCAGACACCAAATTTAATAAGCGACTTTTGTTCTGGACAGTCTGTACCCTTAGCTAAGTAACTCCTTTCCACTCTTGAGTCTTGGTGTCCTTTGTGCCAACTTGAGGAAGGAGCTGGGCTGGAACAGGCCCTCTTTCCCAGTGCTTTGTGGTTGGGCTGCCAGGAGGTACCTGCACAGCCTTTGCATAGGTGTGTGGTTTTCCAAGTGATGGTACATGGCTTTAAGAGTGTTCAGTGGCTCGCATCTGTAATCTTAGCTACTTAAGAGGCCAAGATCCAAGGATTGCAGTTCAAAGGCAGGTAGGGCAAAAAAGTCCACAAGACTCTTTATCTCCAGTTAACCACCAGAAGACCCAGGAAGTGGTGTTATAACTCAAAGCTTTGAGCAAAAGAGCCCTAATGCAGTAATCATTGCTGCTTAGGAGACAGTGATCAGGAAATGAAGCCTGAGGCCAGCCTAAGCATAAAAGTTCTAGAAGCTCCCACCTTTACCAGTGGCTGTGTAAGGTGACACATGGCTGTCATCCCTGCAACAAAGAAAAGCCCAAATGTGAGGATCACAGTCGAGGCTGGCCCAGGTATAAAGCAAAACTCTCTCAAAATGACATAGATGAACTGGCAGGTCCCAGGCTGGACTTCAACTCTGGATCTTCTTGCCTCAGCTTCCTACATGCAGGGATTACAGGTGTTCACTGCCAGGCCTGGTCTAACAGCCAGCTTCTTAAAGACCTGTCTGGCTCTGGCGTTGGGTTTTTTTTCTCCCCCCTACTTAGTGGGCCTTGCTCCTCCCTCCGGGGGCTCAAGTAGCCAGACTTGTGGGCAGGGCTGGGAATTCCTGTCTTTTCAGAAGCTGGCTACTGGGTGAGCAAAGAGGAAAAAAAAATCTGAAGAGCTTGTCCATACACTGGACTTTCATTTAAGTTTGAAGGTCAGATTGTAGGAATCCTCTGACTGTGAGCCCATGGTTGGCCAGTGTTGAGGGACATGCTCTGTTCAAAGACCATCCACTTGGCATTGCTTATTTACCTTAGATGTAAGGTGGCAATAGAGTTTTCTATGTCTCTCTCTCTCTCTCTCTCTCTCTCTCTCTCTCTCTCTCTCTCTCTCTCTTTCTATCTTGTGCAGGTGTTGGAGCTTGAAGTCAGGGTAGTGATCTCTCCTTTGGCTTTTTCCATCAAGGCTGGCACTCTGCCACATAAGCCACAGTTCCACTTTTGGCTTTTTGCTTATTAGTTGGAGGTAAGAGTCTCTTGGATTTGTGTGTCCAGGCTGGCTTTGAACCTTGATCCTCAGCTGTCAACCCCCCCTGAGTAGCAAGGATTATAGGTGTGAGCCTTGGGTACCCAGGCAGAGTTCTTTTTCTTTCTTTCCCTTTTGTTTTTCATGTTGTGCTGAGGATTGGACCCAGGACCTTGAACTTGCTAGCTGAATATCCCTCTACCACTTTAGCTATGCCCCTAATCTTCTGTTTTTGAGATAGGGTCTTACTAGCTTCATGCAGACTGGCCTCAGACTTTAGATCCACCTGCCTCTGCCTCCTAAGTGTGGTTATAGGAGTACACTACTACACCAGGCTGAAATGGGCTTTCTTCGTGTGTCAGTTGTGGGGCTTGAACTCAGGGCCTAGGTGCTGTCCCTAAGCTCTTCTGCTCAAGGCTCTACCACTTTGAGCCATAGCTCCACTTCCCATTTTCTGGTGGTTCATTGGAAATAAGAGTCTCAGGGGGACTTTCTTGCCTGGGCTGGCTTCCAGCCACATTCCTCAGATCTCAGCCTCCTGAGTAGCTAGGATGACAGGCATGGCTCAAATCAGAGTTCTTGAAGCTCTAATTTGGTCTAGGGGTTCCCTTTGCTGGTCCAGGGAGGTAAGACTATTCTCTCAGCTCCTCATCTATTTCTTTCCTGTCTGCAGGTCCCATTTCCATCCTGGTCCAGAGGTGCCGTGACCCCCCTGCCTGTTGGCCATCTTCCCCCAGAATGGACCGCAGTGGCCTCTTGCCCTTCCAGCTCTGGTGTCCCCGGCCATTTGGCACCTACTCTCAGAACCAGCCACGGCCACCTTCTGGGGGCCTCAAGCCAGCTACCTGCCCAGAGCCTGGCAGCGTCCCCGAGCCCGACCATGGGCCTGCCCACTCAGAGAACACGCCGCCTGCCTTGGCCTCAGAGGCTCCCGCTTCCCAGCATGCTCCACTCCTCTCCGCAGCCGCAGCTGGTGATGAGGGTCGGGTCCTGCTGGACACGTGGTACGTCATCAAGCCTGGCAACACGAAGGAGAAAGTGGCTTTCTTTGTGGCCCATCAGTGTGGAGGAGGCAGCCGGGCCAGCTCCATGAAGGTCAAAGGGCACTGGGGCAGCGACAGCTCCAAGGCCAAGCGGAGGAGGCGCTGTCTTGAACCCACCAAGGCTCCTCCAGATCCAGGGGGCCAGGAGGGCTCCCCAGCTGCCGAGGGGGGCCCAGGCTCAGCTGGGGACGATGTGGACCTGCTCTCGGTGGCCGAGATGGTGGCCTTGGTGGAACAGAGGGCTGCCCTGGCCCTGCAGACGTACCCACGGCCCACTGCCCCGGCCCCCGTGGTTTTTGTGTCAGCCGAGCAGGGGGGGCCCCCCAAGGGGTTGGGGTCCGAGCGGCGGTCCGGTGGTGGTGGCGGTGACTGTAGTCGCGTGGCTGAGGCGGTGGCTCACTTTGAAGCCCAGAGGGACAGTCCTCCCACCAAGGGCCTCCGCAAGGAGGAGCGGCCTGGGCCGGGGCCTGGGGAAGTGCGGATTGCCTTCCGGATCTCCAATGGCCGCGAGTCCCGGGCAGCCGATGGCAGCTTGACCAGCGCGGGCGGGGGCCGTCCTGGTTGTACCTATCCTGGTAGCCCAGGCCCTGGGGCACGAGCCAAGGACAAGATCACCTGTGACTTGTACCAGCTCATCAGCCCCTCTAGGGACGCCCTGCCCAGCAACGTGGAGTTCCTGCTGGCCAGGGCGGACGAAGCTAGCGAGGGGGAGACCCCAGCTCCTTCCAGGCCAGAGGACACCCCCCCGACACCCCCTCCTCCACCAGCCCGGGACTGCGGCGCATCGGGCTTCCATGTGGACGTGGTGGTGACAGGCGTGGTGGACGAGTGCATCTTCTTTGGCAAGGATGGCACGAAAAACGTGAAGGAAGAGACGGTGTGCCTGACCGTCAGCCCCGAGGAGCCACCCCCACCGGGCCAGCTCTTCTTCCTCCAGTCGCGGGGGCCCGATGGGCCCCCCGAGCCACCCCCAACAGACACCTCGAGCGCGGTGACAGGCCCCGACGACACGGAGGGGCCAGCCGACACATCCCTGTGCCGCCTGTACCGTCACGTGTCCCACGATTTCCTGGAGATCCGCTTCAAGATCCAGCGCCTGCTGGAGCCCCGGCAGTACATGCTGCTGCTGCCCGAGCACGTCCTGGTCAAGATCTTCAGCTTCCTGCCCACCCGGGCCCTGGCCGCCCTCAAATGTACCTGCCACCATTTCAAGGGCATCATCGAGGCGTTCGGCGTGCGCGCCACGGACTCCCTGTGGAGCCGGGACCCGCTCTACCGCGACGACCCCTGCAAGCAATGCCGCAAGAGGTACGAGAAGGGCGACGTGTCGCTCTGCCGCTGGCACCCCAAGCCCTACCACCACGACCTGCCTTACGGACGCTCCTACTGGATGTGCTGCCGCCGAGCTGACCGCGAGACACCCGGCTGCCGCCTGGGCCTGCACGACAATAACTGGGTCCTGCCCTGCCACGGGCCCGGAGCGGGCCGGGTGGGGCGGGAGGAGGGGAGGTGAAGCTGGGGGAGGGCGGGGGTGCCCGCCATACCCACCTCTTCCCCCTCTGGCCAAGAAGCTGGGGAGACGGGCTGAGCCACCAGCCAACACCCTCCCCCACCCCCCCAAAGTCCAGGCAATGTTGATTCCTCCATACACACACACCCCACCAGCACAGAACTGAAATCAGGTTTGGGGGTGAACCGAGAAAAACCTTGTGGGGTTTTCTACTCTTCAGAGCAACGGACTCTGACACAGGGCGGGTTCTTTTAAAAAAAAAAAAATCAGCATCTCAAAACTATGGAACCGCCCCCCCTCCCCATGCTATGCCCCAGGGAACCCCACCTACCCACCCACCAGCCGGGAACAGATGGCAGCTAATTTTGGTACCACCCCAGGCTTCCCCAGGGCTGGCCCTGCTCCTCCCCAGGCCTCCCTCATCTTTTTTTCTGAGGCTGTGTCCTCCCCAGAGAGCTGGCCCCTCTGAACACCCCGCCACCCCACAGCTAAGGGGGGCCACCAGATCATAAGTTGAATTTGGTACTTTTTCATGGCTGTTTCTAGATGGTTTTCTCCATTAATAGAAAAAAAAATTTTAATCCATTTTTTTCCCTTATCTTCTAATTTACTAGTCTCTCCTTCCCCTATAGGGGGGGAAAGGAATAAAACCCCAGAATCTAGAAATTTGCTTCTGTGGTTTTAAGCTGTTGCTCTCTGCTTTGCCCCCTCCCCTCCCCCCATAATGCTGTGAAACCTTCCCCTGGCTCTTATACGCGCGGGTGTGGTGGTGGGGGCAGAGCACCAGGACTGTGGGTCTGAATTTCTAGGTGGTTTTTCCCTCTCCCACTCCAGGTACTTCTTGAGGTGTTGGGGATCTCTGACCCCAGCTCCATTTCCTTAGAAATCTTTCAGTCAACTGGGATCTAGGTCTTCAGGCCATTCGGTCTGGGGTATTGTTTTGTTCATTCTGTTAATGTTTTTGTTTTTTTTTTTAATTTTCCTTTTGGTTTTGGTTTCTCATTGTTGTTCTGGAAGCTTCTAGCACGTGGCATCTGACCGATTTTGAATTGGTCCTTTCTATAAAGTCAATATTTATAAGGCTGGGTCCAGACTGGTCTTTATGTTAAAGGGTTCGGGAGGAAGAGAGCTGTGGGCCCGAGTGCCAGGCAGTGGAAAAGATGGGGTAGGGTGGGGTACAAGTCCCTATACTTGGGTTATTTGTGACTCATTTGGATTGGTTTTTTTTTTTTTTTGTTGGTAGTGGGTCTTGAACTCTGGGCCTGGGCGCTGTCCCTCAGATCTTCAGCTCAAGGCTAGCGCTCTACTACTTGAGCCACAGCACCACTTCTGGTTTTCTGGTGGTTTATTGGAGATAAGAGTCTCACAGGGTTTCCTGCCTGGGCTGTTTTGGAACTGCGATCCTCAGATCTCAGCCTCCTGAGTAGCTAGGATTACCAGCATGAGCTACCAGCACCCCGGCTTGGTTTGGATCTTAAAATCACAAAATAGTACTAACTTCAAGATTTTTTATTAATTATTCATTTATTTATTTATTTATATATGCCAGTCTTGGGGCTTGAATTCAGAGTCTAGGTGCTGTCCCTGAGCTTCTTTTGCTCAAGGCTAGCACTCTACCACTTGAGTCATAGCACCACTTCTGGCTTTTTCTGTTTATGTGGTACTGAGGAATCGAACCCAGGGCTTCATGCTTCACCCAGGCAAACACTCTACCACTAAGCCACCTTCCCAGCTCTATAAGATTTTTATTTCTTTATTAAAAAAAAAAAATCTGGGCTGGCTTCAAATTGCAATCCTCAGGTCTCAGCCTCCTGAGTAGCTAGGATTACAGGCATGAGCCATTGGTACTCAGCTATTAATTGCTCTTTAAAGAGTCATGGATAAAACTCAGTAGCCTAGCTGGGCACTAGTGGCTCATGCCTGTAATCTAGGTATTCAGGGGGCTGAGATCTGAGGATCACAGTTCAAAGCCAGCCTGGACAGGAAGGTCCCTATGAGGCTCTTATCTCCAATTAACCACCAGGAAACTAGAAGTAGCACTGTGGCTCAAAGTGGTAGAAAGCTAGCCTTGAGCAAAAAGAGCTCAAGGACAGAACCCACGCCCTGATTTCAAGGCCCAGGACTGACAAAACAAAACAACAAAAAGTCAGTGGCCAGGTTAAACAGTAAATTTAACACAACTGATGAAAAGTTTATTGAATTAAAGGTGGTGAGAAAAATAAGAGTACAGACACACACATACATACACACACACACGCACAAACCCTGAGAAAACATGAAGAAAGGTTATGGAGATAGAGTAAGATCTGATGGGGGAAGGGGAAGAATTAGGCAAGATTAATAATGCTTAAAGACATGCCAGAGGGCTGGGAAGTTGGCTCAGTGGTAGAGCGCTTGCCTTACATGCCTGATGCCCTGGGTTCGATTCCTCAGCACCACTTAAGCAAAAAGAAAAAAGCAGGAAGTGGTGCTGTGGCTCAAGTGGTAGAGCACTAGCCTTGAGGTGAAGAGCTGAGGGACAGCGCCCAGGCCCAGAGTTCAGGCCCCATGACCGGACCCAAAAAAAAACAACAAAAAAAACATGGCAGAGTTGCTGCTGGGAGCCATGGCTCAAATGGTAGAACACCTGCCAAGCAAATATGAGGCCCTGAGTTCAAAACCCCAATACTAGAAGAAAAAAAAAAAAAAGCAGTCCTCCTATACACCATGCTATGAAAGCCCAGTGATGTGGTTTTTGGGAATTGGTTTCTCTTTTTCATTTTCTGAATCTTAAAAACCAATAATTCAAGCCGGGCACTGGTGGCTCTTGTTTATAATCCTAGCTACTCTGGAGGCTGAGATCTGAGGATCAAAGTTTGAAGCCAGCCCCAGCAGAAAGGTCTGTGACACTCTTCTCCCATTAAGCAGCAAAAAGCTAAGTAAAATGCTACCACCTAGCTGCACCCCCAGCCTGCTTTCCTCTCTTCTGGGGTGTTTTAGACAGCTGAGCACGTACCAACCTGTGGCCTTTAAGATACCGTGTCCCAAACTCATGATCAAGATTCTCTCATGTATTCAGCCCCTCCCTGAAGTCCTGCTTCAGTAGGTCTGCAGTTGGGACTTAGGAGTCCAAGCGTGGTTGTACAAGCCTTAATCCCAGCTCCTTGAGAGACAAGAGGCAGGATGGTTAGATCCACAAACCTAGCAGCTAGACCCTGTCTTAAAAACAAAATTAAAAGAACCTGTGATACAGCACTTGCCAGGCTGAGTTCCACTCCCACTTCCTCACAAAAAAAAAAAAAGGATGGTTTGATGAAGGAAGAAATGGAGCTTCATCTGATATATTCTGACTAAACTTGCTGAACATGGAGCTTCCTCAAAGTATCTTCTCAGGTACCCTTGTTCTGTGATTGTGCTTCCCAGTTCAAAGGGTTCCCTATTGAAGTGCATTGGGAACCACTACAGTTCTCTTGCCTGACTGGAAATTTGCCTTGTGTCACCAGGATGCATTTAACGTCTCGCACTAGAACTTTGATCTTTGATCCCTCATTCAAGCAGTGGCGTACTGGATCAGAGAAAACCTGTCTTCTAGAAGCTGGCCTTTCATTTCTGTTCCTGATTCTGCAGTAGCAAAACTGTCATTGTGTAGATTGGGCAGAGAGGAAAGCATAAGCCGAAAGAATTCATTTGGTTGGGTTTGGTTGCTAGCCCAACCACAAGAAGCCAAACCAGCCCTTGCTGGCTAAAAGCTCAGCATCTGGTCCATGGAAACCTCCAGTATAGCTGTGGACCCAAGAGCAGGGGCCAAACTCGTACTCTTCGTCTCACCACCCTGTTCGACATCCATTCTGTGGTCCCTTCTGTGTCCTTGAAGTGGCCTTGACCCAAGTAGGAGCTGACGGGATAGGTGAGGACAAAGCCACTCCTGAGGTAGATCTGGACTTGTCCACTGGGGGGTGCTTCTGGAGGAAGGTCTCCTCTGGTACTGTCCCCTCCAGCCTAGAGCCCCAGATACTCAGCCAGGAACACAGCCAGGATGCGGCTGAGATTGTGCACCGTGGGTGGATGGAGATTGGCCTCAGTGTCTGCAGGAGTATGCCAGACAGTAGGAAAGGGCGTGGCGATGAGGTGGACCACCGGGACCCCTGAAGGGAAGAGAGATGCCGGTCAGGCCTGTCCCAATCCAGTGTTCACCCAGAGATAACCCCATTTTACAGATGGACAGATCAAGACCCGGAAGTTAAGCAGCTTGCCTCTAGTCCTGGTCCTGGAAAGTGGTCAGGGCCAGGAAGTATGGCTTCCTTGTTTTGTTGGATTTTTTTTTTCTTATATCAATAGTGGGGCTTGAACTCAAGGCCTAGATGCTGTCCCTGAGCTTTTTGTGCCCAAGGCTAGCACTCTACCACTTGAGCCACAGCCCCACTTGCAACTTTTTGGTGGTTCATTGTAGATAAGTCTTGTGGACTTTATTGCCTGGGCTGGCTTTGAACCATGATCCTCAGCTCTGAATCTCCTGAGCAACTAGGATAGCAGGCCTGAGCCCTGGGTGTAGTTTGCTGGGCCCTGTACCCCATCCCTCCCTGTACTGGACACATACCTCTGCGGAGGAAGGGGATGTGGTCATCTTCCACAGAGCCAGGGGGCTCTCCAGGTTGGAAATACATCACCTCTTGGGGGTGAGACTGCAGGAGGTTCAGCCGGTGCAGGCGTTTCTCTGAAGGTGTTGCGTCAGAGAACAAGGATCAGTCCTCAGCATTGGAGGGAGCCAAGGCTCCCAGAGACAATGCACTGCTCACGCCAACACAAACCAGTTGTACATATTTTTATATGTACAACAGCCAATACTAGGGCTTCAAATCAGTCCCGTGCTCTCACATGGCTTGGCTTGCCTGCTCAGAGCAGGTGCTGGACTACTTAACCATGCCTGCAACCCAGCTTTTTTGCTATTTAATTGGCAATGAAGTTCTTGAAGACTTTTCCACCTGGGACTGGCTTTCAAGCCTCAAGCCTCTGATCTCAAGCTCCTCAATAGCTAGGATTACAAGCATGAGCCACTGGTGACCTTAAATTGATCACCACCTCTGGAGTAGCTGGGATTACAGGTGTGAGCCACCACACCCAGGGCATTTGTTTTTGAGACCAGTTTCTCCCTCTGTCTCCCTCTGGTCTAGAATTCACTATGTAGCCTAGACTGGCTTTGAACTTGTAATCCTGCTTTGGCCTCTGGAGTGCTGAGATTTCAGGCGTGCACCGCCACACCTGGCTCATAAAGTACCTTTATTAGTGTTGGCATCATGACCATTTTACAGTGAAATGAGCAACTTGCTTGAAATCCCGCTGCTGCTAAGAGGCAGACCCAGGATTTGAAACCAGGACTGGCTCTTGCCAGAGCCCCGTTCTATAATCCCTACACATCTCATCCATGGGATGTTTGTGACTCTGCCCTGGTTCCTTACAAAGACCAGGACTGTAAGGAAGTTTGGGTGCTGGGGGGGGGCCCCCCACTTACCAATGCTCCTTAGTCGCTGGAACCAGCGGATGGTTCGGGGGAAATGGCTGTAGAAGGTGGGGTTTGGGGCTCCCAGGAGATCAAGAAGCACAAAGAGCTCCTAGGAGAAGAGAGAGGGGAAGGGGGGCCAGGACTGGAAGGGGCCGTGGGATTCTGGTAACTCGGCCTTAACCTTCTCCCTCCCTTCCCAGAGGCCAGTGTGGGTCTCCCAGTCTTACGATAGCTTGGATCCTCGTGGGGCCAGGGCTGTGGGGTATGGACTCCATGAGCTGGGCCAGGTGCCGGGACCCATAAAGGGAATCCCTGGGTCCCCACTCTTTCAGCGCCTCTTCCCCGTCCAAGAAGAGGAACTGCAGGGTTACTGGAGCTGCCTGGAGGACAGAGGGCGGAGGCCAGCTCAGTGTGGCCCTCGGTCTCCAGGCCTGCCCGCCTGCACAGCCAGGTCGGGCAAGTCAGGTGTCCTTGCTCATACACTGTGACCTGTAGAGTACACAGCCAGGGGGCTGGGAAGGTGGCTCAGTGGTAGAGCGCTTGCCTTGCATGCTCGAGGCCCTGGGTTCGATTCCTCAGCACCACATAAGCAAAAAGAAAAAAAGCCGGAAGTGGCGCTGTGGCTCAAGTGGTAGAGCACTAGCCTTGAGCTGAAGAGCTGAGGGACAGCGCCCAGGCCCAGAGTTCAGGCCCCACGACCGGACCCCCCCCCCCCCCAGAAAAAGTGTATACAGCCAGGGTTTTTTTTGGTGGGGGGGCAGTCCTGGGGCTTGAACTCAGGGCCTGGGCACTGTCCCTGAGCTTCTTTTGCTCAAGGCTAACACTCTACCACTTGAGCCACAGCAATACTACTGGCTTATGCTGTGTATGTGGTACTGAAGAATCAAACCCAGGGCTTCATGCATGCTAGGCAAGCATTCTACCACTAAGCCACATTCCCAGCCTCCATGAGACTTATCTCCCATGACCCACCGGAAGACCAGAAGTGGCACAGTGGCTCAAAAGTAGTAGAGTAATAGCCTTGAGCAAAAGAATCTCAGAGACAGCACCCAGGGCCCTGAGTTCTAGCTCCATGACTGACAAAAATAAAAATGTAAATAACTAAAGTAGTCCACGTGCTGTGTAAAGAGCAAGAGCAAGTGGGGCTGGGAAGGTGGCTCAGTGGTAGAGCACTTGCCTTGCATACTCGAGGCCCTGGGTTCAATTCCTCAGCACCACATAAGAAAAAAGCCGGAAGTGGCGCTGTGGCTAAAGTGGTAGAGTGCTAGCCTTGAGCTGAAGAGCTGAGGGACAGCGCCCAGACCCAGAGTTCAGGGCCCACGACCGGAACCCCCCCCCCAAAAAAAAAGAAAAAAAAAGAGCAAGTGCAAGTGCCCTGGGGTAGGTTTGAGAGACTTGGGGATATGGGTGTGGCTGGGACAGAGTCAGGGATGAGAGCTCACCTAATATGTAACATAACGTAATATGTAACATAAGGACATTATTTTAGGCCTAGGATGCTGTAGCGGGGTATGGTAAGGATTGGGGAAAGGCATGACAGGATCTGACATTCAGGGGTTAGAAAGACTCCCACGGCTCAATGTAATGTGTCAGAAGATGAGAAACACAACAAAGGCAGAGGAGAGCAGGGACTTGGCTCAGGGTGGAGATGATCTCTCCCTCTGGCCCCACCCTGGCCTCACCTGCTGCTTGGCCTTGCTCAGCATCAGATCTAGGGCCTGGGCCAGCTCCAGTAGCAGGGCACAGGGCACAGCGGAATCTGTGGCCCCCACAAAGGTGGCAGACCCGGGAGGGAAGAACTTCGAGTCGTAATGGCAGGCCAGGGTGAGGTGACGGGCAGCTCCTGGGTCCAGGGTGGCCACCACGTTTCCAAAGTCCAATGGCCCCAGGGGTGTCGAGGCCGTGAAGGGATCCAGCTCCACATGCCAACCTGCTGTCAGGGCCCGCAGCGTGGCCTCCAGGAACTAGTGGGGAGAGAGAGATGGGAGGGTGGACAGGGACTGGGGAAGTGGGGGGAACGGTCACGTGACCTGAGCCATATGGAAAAGTCAGGTTGACCTGAAAGCCCTACTTTGGTGTAAATTACTGCTTTGACATGGATTCTTCCTGAGCTTCAGCTGTTGGGGTGACCTCACCTCTTAATGTCAACAAGACATCACAGCTTACTCTTAGCCCCGTGTGTGTGTGTGTGTGTGTGTGTGTGCACGCGTGCGTGCGTGCTAGCTCACATGTGCAGGAGTAACATGCATGCACACATGTGCCCCAGTACTGGGGCTTGAACTCAGGGCCTGGGCACTGTCCCTTAGCTTTTTCACTCAAAGTTGGCACTCTACCATTTGTCACACTTCCACTTCTGACTTTTTACTGGTTCACTGGAGATAAAGTCACACCAGGCTGAGAATGTGGCTTAGTGGTAGAGTGTTTGCCTCGCATGCATAAAGCAAGGGTTCAATTCCTCAGTACCACATAAATGGAAAAAGCCAGAGGTGGCGCTGTGGCTCAAGTGGTAGAATGCTAGCCTTGAGCAAAAAAGCAGCTCAGGGACAGTGCCCAGGCTCTGAGTTCAAGCCCCCGGACTGCAAAAAAAAAAAAGTCTCAGCAGCTTTCCTGCCCAGGCTGGTTTCAAACTGTAATCCTCAGATCTCAGCCTCCTGAATAGCTAGGATGACACGCAGGAGCTACCAATGTTCAGGTTTAAAGAGCTTTTACTTGTGCTATACGATGTTCTAGGGACCCTATGGGTGGGTAAAGCTCATGAGCCAATCCCATGATCCAGACTGAGGCCTGAGGAGGTTAACCAGTTTTCCCATTTGCATAATGAAGATCATATTGGTTCTCACCTCAAGGGGCCGCTGGTGACCTGTGCTTAACTCAGTAAACCTTTGAGGGAAGGTAATGTAGCGTTTGGGAGTCGGGGGTGTCTATACCATCATGGATCTCTAGGGTCATCACAGAATTCTCTGCCTCTTAGCTGTTGGATCGCACCCTGGAGGGTCAGGGATTGGATGTTGGACCCTTTTACCTTCCTCACTTGGAGATTGCCTGGGCTACCCGGGGTGCGCACAATCAGCAGGGGGCGCAGGAACGTCCCCCAGAGTCGCTGTGGGTCCAGCTGTCCCACCACCATCCGCAGCTTGGCTTCCGGGAGGCTTCCAATCAGCGGGGCCTGGGGGTGGGAAGTGGAGATGAAGATGGAGATGAGAAGGATGAGAGCAGTCCCGCATGCAGGCTAAACCCCAAGGCCCTGCTGCCCACAGAGAAGCTGGCGACCTCCTCTAGGTATAAGCGATGCTTAGCATAAATCAGGAAAAAGTCCCTCTTTAGTCCCATCGGGTCGGTCCAGCCCACTTCAGTCCTGAAGGAAAAATAAATCCAAGGAGAGAGAGAGAGAGAGAGAGAGAGAGAGAGAGAGAGAGAGAGATTTTCTTCCGAATACTCGAGGCATAGGTAGAACCCCGCTCTCCCAATCTTGCTATATTCCAGACTCTTCCTCTTAAGGGGGAGGAGCAGGAAAATGACGATTACAAAATTAAGATTTTTTTTTAAAGCTCCCAAAGCCTTAGTCTGTGGATAAAGGGGCATGCGCTCCATGGACGGAAAAAGGAGATGGCACCTGCGGCTGGGGCCATCCGATACAGCCACGTCAACCCGAGACTTCAGGGGACGGGGCAGGAGGGAACCGGGGTTCCCTTCACCTTCCCCCCGCCCCCCCGTCATCCACTCCCCCCCCCCCCGCCCAACCTCACCCGGTGCTCCCGGCCCCGCGCCAGCTCCTCGTTCCATCGGCGCCAGCCGCCCCAGAGAATGAGCAACGCGGTGCCCACCGCCAGCGCCAGCAGCAGCAGGGGCAAGGGCTGCACGCGGGGGAGCAGGCGGCGCTTGCGGGGTGAAGGTGGCTCCATGAGACCCCGGTCCCCAAGCCGGAGCCGGGGCCGCCCGCGGCCCCCCGAACGCATGACAGCGTGGCCCGCAAGCCGGTGGGAGACCGCGGAGCTAGTTCAGGCCCAGCCAAGTTCCACCCCTCAAGCAGCGAAACCAATGGGAGCGCGCATCCTGAGGACACGCCTACCGACCTCCCCGGGGATGTTGGGGTTGGTCACCCCCCACTTCCCCCGAGGGTTGCACAACCCAAAAGGGAGCGCCTGGGCGAGGGTCCGCCTCCGCGGAGCGGGAAAGCCAATGGTTAGCTTCTAGTCGTGGAAAACATTGGATCTCCCGCTCTCAGAACCATGCCCCTCCCGGATGTGGGCTCGGGATTGGTCGAAAAGATCAATTGACAAACCCACGGACCATCCAGGAACCGAAGGAGGCGGTACCAATCGCTGAAGCAAAGAGAGGATTGGCTTCGTCGAGACCGCGCCTCCTAGGGCAAGGCCGGCGGGCATTTGGAAATGAGTACTTCCCGCTTTCGACTTACACCATTCTACCGCAATCTAAATAAAACCGCCTTTCTTTTCCTCTCTACGCTCGTGAACATCTTCCCGGCAGGGCCCAGAATGAGCCGTTTGACTCAAAAGCTTTTAACAACCGCCCCCATCACTGCACAGCGGGCTGGGCGTCGCTATGGAAACAGGCCACGCCCCCACCCACTGGTTGGATTTGCGCGTGCGCCCACGGAAGTACGCCCCCGGAAGCGGAAGTCACGCCTTCCTCCTCTCTGGTCTGAGGCTGAGGCAACGCGGAGACGCCAGCGACTAGCGGGAGCCGCCGCCACCATGTGAGTCCGGGACTGGGCCTAGGCAGTGGGAGTGGGGTTGAGGGTGCAAATTTAGCTGGTTAAGGATGGAGGCATCTGGGCTGTGGCGGCGGGTGGAAATCCTAGGCCTCAAGTGGAGTTCTTTTCTCCTGATGAGAACGGGCCTGGGCCTCTGACTGATGACCGATCCATGAGTTCGACACCCGGGACTGTTGTGTCCCGTCACGGGCTTGCGGCTCCCTCAGATACTCCGTTTTGTTGAGAGAAAAACTAAGGGAAAACTATTTTGCGAGTAATGAATCTGGGGAGAGAAGTGTGGACCAGTAGAAACCATGATTTAAGCCAGGGGCTCGTGCTCACACGAGTAATCTTAGCTGCTCTGGAGGCTGAGATCTGAGATTCGCGATTCAAACCCAACCTGGGAAGGAGAAAGCAAGCGTCCGTTTAAGCTCTGGAAAGAATATTTGTATATTTGACAGGCAGATGGTAGGGTTTGCTGTTGGATTTGATGTCGGATGTGAGAGGAAGAGAAGAGTCTATGGAACCTCAAGTAGTGTTGTTTTTGTTGTTCACAACTAGATTGGTGGGGTTATCGTTGATGGAGCTGGGGAGCACTTTGGCTGGAGTCATGTTCACTCCCTCTCCCTGCCTAAGCTCCTCTCACCTGTGCGTTGCCTACCTGCCTATTCAGGAGCCTCCTCAACAAGCCCAAGAGTGAGATGACCCCGGAGGAGCTGCAGAAGCGGGAGGAGGAGGAGTTTAACACAGGTCCACTCTCAGTGCTTACTCAGTCAGTCAAGAACAACACCCAGGTACTCATCAACTGCCGGAACAACAAGAAGCTCCTAGGCCGGGTGAAAGCCTTTGACAGGTGAGCAGCTGTGTGTGTGGGGGTGGGGGGGGGAGGATATGAGGGGGTTGGCTCTGTCCCCAAGCTGAAGGAACAGGTTTTTTAGGAACCACAAGTGTGGCTGTCCTGCCAGCTTTGGGGTGTGCCAGAGGTGGGTTTGGTGTCTCCGAAGTCCAGCCTGCCCAGGGTTGATCCCAGCTTTGCCTCAGCAGCAGTCAGCTGCCCTCTGGGCACACCTTCCCCTGCAACAGCAGAGGCTGTAGTCCCAGGCAGGAGCCGGGCAGGGAGAGCCCCTGGCCTTCGGTTGACACCCCGCCCCCTCCAGGCACTGCAACATGGTCCTGGAGAATGTAAAGGAGATGTGGACTGAGGTCCCCAAGAGCGGCAAGGGCAAGAAGAAGTCCAAGCCGGTCAACAAGGACCGCTACATCTCCAAGATGTTCCTGCGCGGGGACTCAGTCATCGTGGTCCTGCGGAACCCCCTCATCGCGGGCAAGTAGAGGCAGCCTCGCCCCCCCCTGCGCAAAGATCTGCCTTTTGTGATGGGAATAAAGTCCTTTTTTTTTTTTTTTTCTTACTGTTGCACGTCTGTTCCTGGGGCCTGATGAGTAGGGTGGATGGGGGCAACTGTTGAATGCTGGTTGGCTGCTGAGCAAGTGGAAAGGTGTGGGTCTGCCCTATCCAGGCCTCTGCTTCCTGGCTGTGGAGTGGACCCATTGGATATGAAGTTTTCTTGCCCCCAAATCCTTGTCTTTTTGCTATTTGGGCCTTCAGCCTGTGTGCCAAGCCCTGTGTGTGGCACTGCAGATTAACCCATGTTCTAGAGATTTCCCCCAAAACCTTCCTCCTGAGACAGAAGGGGAGACAGGTTCTTTATGTGTGTGCGCACACACATGCTCTTTCTGGGACTTAAACTTGGGGCTTGGCCATCATGGTACCTGTTACATCCGGAAGTGTAAAGAAGTGCAAAGAAATTGGCGTGTATGTGCTTGGTGCATACTTGTAATCCCAGCACTCCAGAGGTAGAGAAAGGGGGATAATGAAATCAAAATGAGCCTGGTCCACATAGCCAGATTCTCAGAGGAAAACAGCAGTTGGGGGAAAGCAGAATAATGAGATTTGAAGTAAGAGCCTCAAGTTTGCTGGGCAGGTGCTCTACCTCAGCCACACCCTCAATTCTATAAGAGCAGTTGGAGTTTTCCAAGAGACAGCTAAGAATCATCCCAGCTGAGATAAGCAAGCCTTTATTTAAAAAAAAAAAAAGGCAGATGCCATGGGTCAGGCTTGTAATCCTAACTACTTAGGAGGCTGAGATCTGAGAATCTCGGTTCAAAGTCAGCCTGGGCAGGAAAATCCATGAGACTCTTACCTTCACTGAACTACAAAAAAAAAAAATTAAACCAGAAGTGGAGCTGTGGCTCAACTGGTAGAGTGCTAGCCTTGCACAAAATCACCCAGGCTCAGAGTTCAAACTCTACAATTGGCACCCCCTTCCCCTCTCCCCCCCCCAAAAAAAAAAAGCAAGAAGCAACCCTGTTCTAAGTTTTGGTCCATTGTGGGGCTTGAACTCAGGGCCTGGACACTGTCCCTGAGCTCTTTTGCTCAAGGCTAGCCTCTACCACTTTGAGCCACAGCATCACTTTGAGTTTTCTGGTGGCTAATTGGAGATGAGAAGAGTCTCTGTAACAGACTCTCCTGCCTGGGCCAGCTTTGAACTGTGATCCTCAGATCTCAGCTTCCTAAATAGCTAGGATGACAGGCGTGAGTGCAGTCACCCGGCTGGCTTTATCATTTCTATCCTGCCTTTCTAACGAGCAGCTCTCAAAAGAATGGAATGTACACACATACACACACTTACAATTTTAATGTATGTATGTCTTAACTAGGTCAATATCAGGATTACATGTAATATTCTCATTTGGGGTTCTCACACGGGGGACAATAGTACTGGGTCCATGTTTTCTTGTGCAACCACTGCAGACCCCCCAACCCAGCCACACAGCCCACTTTAGCCCACTGTGGCCTGGCCCACCCCAGAAAGCAAACAACAGCTTCCTAAAACTTCATCTCCCAGGGCTTTACCTAAGTCCCCCCACCCCACCAGAACCTGAATTGGGGGAGATTGTATACAAAGGCTCCAAGTTGTGGGGGCACATCTGTTCACAGAGCTGGGGTCCCCAGGGAAAACACAGTACCCAGGCATTAACTGAGCAATTTAGGAGTCCTCATACATATGGCTAATTTTAGCCCTGATGAGGTTGTGGGCTTCCTAAATGTTCCCAGTACCCAAGAGCCGCCATGTCAAGAGCGTGGGGCCTGTGTTCTCTTCCCAGCTCCCAGGCCTGCCTTTCGTGGCCTTCGTCAGCATCAACACACCTCTGCATCCTCAGCCTCTCCTGTCCAGTGTCCTCCAGCTCTAGACCCCTTAGGTCTCCCACAGGCATTGCCTGCCTGACAGGCCCAGAGACCCAGACTGTACCCCCTCTTGGCCCCAATCTCCCTGCATTTCCTCTCCCCTGCTCAAACCCAGGGCTCTTCCTTCATCTCCCTTTTTCCTCGTGAGATCCATTCACAATTCCTCCCCACCTCCGGAGCCCACGGCTTCCCCACGTCTCCATTCATCCAGCCACCATCACCTCCAGCCTACAGTGCCCCCTTCTGATTCCCACCGCTCCCCTGACATCTGCTCCCGTACAGGGGCCAGGAGGACTGAAAACGGGAGCCCTGAGAGGCCCTGCTAAAGGTCCAGTGTGCGTGGAATGAAATCCCACTTTCCCCAACAGTGGCTCTGCCTTACCCCACCTTTTCTTAGCGCCCAGGCCTTTCCTGCCCCGGGATCGTTCCACATGCTGTTCCTTCCGCCTGGAATCATGTTCTCGGAATCACACTTCTCTCTCCTTCCCCTCCATCAGGCCGGCTGCGAGCACCCCAGGCCCCTTCTAAATTCTCTCCATCAGCCATCACTGCGTGATTTCTGCTCATCAGTTTCCCTCGTTCCTCTCTGACGTCCAGAAAAGCTGGGACCTCATCTTCCGTTTCCTTCTCCCCCATTTCCCCAGCGTCCCCCCCCCCCCAAGCCAAGGCTGGCTGGCACACAGCAGGCACTCAGTGAAATGAGTGCTCACGGCAAACAGGATTTCCAGTTACCTAGCAGTAACTTTCCGAGATCCTACTGGCTTCGTTGTCATGTCCTGGCAGGGCCCCCGAGGACAAGGTGCGGCCGATGGGGATCTCTCCGGGGCCCCCGCTGCGGGGCACGGCCTGGGAGGGGCGCCTGGGGGGCGGCGGCAGCGGCTGGCGGGACTCCTGGCTGAGCCTGCGGTGCAGGCGGCGGTGGTACCAGCCCCGCCGCATCTCGGACTGCACCTGCAAGGGCCGGGGGCTGAGCGGCGGCGCCGTGCCCCGCGCGGCCGCCAGGGGGCGCGGGCGGGCCTCTCCCTACCTCCTTGTTGATGAAGCAGTAGAGGATGCTGACCAGGAAGCCCTGCGGGGGAGAGGGGGAGGGAGGGGCAGGGGTCAGATCAGAACTGGGGAGCAGGGGGCTGGGAAGGTGGCTCAGTGGTAGAGCGCTTGCCTTGCATGCATGAGGCCCTGGGTTCGATTCCTCAGCACCACATAAGCAAAAAGAAAAAAGCCAGAAGTGGTGTTGTGGCTCAAGTGGTAGAGTGCTAGCCTTGAGCTGAAGAGCTGAGGGACAGCGCCCAGGCCCAGAGTTCAGGCCCCACGACCAGACCCCTCCAAAAAAAAAAAAACTGGGGGACAGCATAGAGCCGCTCCTTTCCTTACTGCTAACCCTGCCTACACTTGTGCTGTCATCACCATAGTCATATACTGAGGACCCCTGTCCAATGGCTTCCAGCTCGACCCAGCCAGTCAGGGGGTGGAAGGGAGCAGGGCACCAGGGACTAAAAACAGGGGGCCTAAGTTGCAGAAAGCCTGGATGCAAGAAATCTTATTGCCCCCTTAATACCCTTTGGGCAGGCTGCTTAACTTAACCCTGTGTCTCAGTTTCTTCATCTGGATTGTTATTTGTTCTCTGATGTTAGCAGTGTGGGGATTGAACACATGGCCTCCTGCATGCTAGACAGCTGCTCCACCACTTCAGCCACATCCCTGGCCTCAGATACTCTTTGTTTTGCAGTGCTAGTGGTCAAACCCAAGGACTTGTGTGTACCCTAGGCAAATAATCATGGATTCACACACCAGCTCTCTGTAGTTTGGAAAATGCAATTGTACAGGTAGCAGCTGAAGAAGCTGGCCAAATCTCTCTCTCTCTCTCTCTCTCTCTCTCTCTCTCTCTCTCCTCTCTCTCTCTCTTTCTTTCTCTGTATTGAGGATTGAGTTCAGAGACTAGTTTGCAATGCAAGCTGTACTACTTAAGCCACACTCTCAGCTCTCTTTTTCTTAGTCACATATGTCAAGATTATATACCATAAGTTAACTATTGCATGCATTTTCTATAGCTAGATTTAAATAAAGTGGAGCCAGGGCAGGGTGGGGCATTCCAATAATCCTAGCACTAAGGAGTCTGAAGCAGGATGGGCTTAAGTTTGGGGATGAGGGTAGCCTAGGCTAGCTATATGCTGAGATTCTGTCAGAAAGAAAGAAAGGAAAGACGGGAAAGAAGGAAGGAAGAGAATGAGCAGAGAGCACACACTTCTTGCTACTCAGGAGGATAAGATCTGGAGGATCCTAGTTAAAAGCCAGTCCCTAAGACTCCATCCCCAAAGAAACTAACAAAATACCAGGGTGGGGGCAATGCACAAGCAGTATAGCTCCAGCCCAGCAAGCAAGCTGGTGAAACGAGTTGGAAACCCATTACTTACTATTTCCCACAATCCTGTTCAAATCTAACATAGTCACATCCTCCCTTTTGTAGAAAAGTTTGGCCCCTAATCTCCCTTCTCTATCCTCATCCTTCTCCTTCTCCCTGCTTCTGGCTTCTGTCTCCTAAACTTCAGGCATCCTGGCCTTCCTCCATCACATCAGCTTCCACGTCAGGGATTCTGCACCGGGCATTGGTCTCTTTCTGAAAGATGACTAGGAAGTGTCTGAACTTGCATTTGGACCGTGGTTCGAAGCCCTCGCTTCTCACTAAGAGTCAGTACCTCCGAGGATGCCTTGCGGCTACGCCTCCTCTCCACCCCGTCCTGCCCCCACCCCCCCAGCGCAGCCGATTGTATTGTGGCATTAATGAGTAAATGTTGTGGGCCTGGCGGTGGCGGGGAGGCGGCCCCCCCACTACCCCCCCCACCCCCGGCCTGAGCACCTGGAAAGAGCTTAAGAAGATCTCAAAGCCAAGCTTGGCCAAGCGCAGGGCGCCGCGCGCCTGTTCCTCGGTCACCGGAGCAAACACCACCTCGTGGACTCCCAGAAGGGGCACCAGCGTCAGCGTGGAGCGAGCCAGCCTGGGGACGGAGGGCGGCGGTGGTCCCCAGGCCCCCCCCCTCCCCGCCCCGGCCCTCACCGACCCTCTCCCTGACCCCTGACCCCTGCCCTCTCACCGCAGGCGGTAGTCTGCGCAGCGCATCTGTCGTGTCCTCAGTTTGGACACAAGGATGCCAAGAATTCGGAG